TATATATATATATATCGTCACAAACAGAGCTGCCCGGTAAACCGTAGGCAGAGAGAGAGAAGAGGACAACAAACGAGGGGCTGTGTATATATATACAGGGTCACCAGCCCGTACGTACGGAGGTCCCCGGGCAGACCTCCGTACGTACGGGCATTCGGGGTCCCGTACGGGGTCCGAACCCTACGACGTTCGGCCCCCACCAAATATTATTTCGGGGCCTAAAACTAATAATTTTTTTCTGAATTTTCTTTTGCGAGTTCCCTATGACGTGAGGTACATGCCTGTAAATTTTCAAGTCATTTTGCTAAGCCGAATAAGAATTAAAAATCGCCAAAGATGGCGGTGTCAAAACGTGGTCGCCCACGTATTTTTTCACTGTTTACTTTTTGTTTTCACTTTAGTTCGGGGTCTAAACAATTTTATTATTTTTTGAATTTTTTTTATTGGGTTTTGTATTATGTGAAGTAAACATCTGTAAATTTTCAGGGCATTTAGCTATGCCAAAAAAAATGAACAATCGCCAAAGATGGCGGTGTCGAAAACATGCTCGCTCGCTCACTCACTAAGTTTAATTCTCTTTTTATTTTTATTTATTTTTATTATTAGTATTTGTTTTCCGTATTTTATTTTTATTTCAAATTTGGTAAGGAATTCGGATGTAATGCTCAGGCAAATCTTGTTTAATTTATTGTTTTCCATAACATATCGTTTTTTCAGATTTTTTTGATGACTTTTTTTTTTTTTTTTGGGTCCGCGTTTGGCCCGAACGGCCGAACGCATCCACAAGGGGTACCATACGTTCGGGCGTTCGGCCCGTCCCGAACGCCGGTTACCCTGTATATATATATATATATATACAGCCTCCTGATGAGTCGGTGAAACTCCGACGAAACAGTTTGTCACAGCCCCTCGTTTGTTGTCCTCTTCTCTCTCTCTGCCTACGGTTTACCGGGCAGTTCTGTTTGTGACGATATATATGTATATATAGTAAGTACAAAGGCACATTTTGGTACTCGTACACCTACTTCAACATTGTAAGTCTTCTGGAATTTATAAAGGGAAGGGTCTTCGATATCGAAATGAAATTATACCTAGGTAGTCTGGGTGGACGTCGGGGACTGCCCCCCCTCCTCCTGAAATGTCCACAGTTGTCTGGGCAGACTTTTCCCCCAAGTGTCTGCCCTGGGCCATATGACCGGGGCCGGCAAAAAATGGTGTTCGCCGGGTTTTCACGGTTTGGGGGCCTTGAGGGTCGGAGGAGGGCTTTCTCTACACCCCCCCCCCAAAAAAAAAAAATTGCTGTTGCTCTGCCACTTGGAGGAATAAGCACCCTGTCGTGGCCATTGGCTGCTGATACTCCAAGCTCTACGGAGAGTCGGTCATAGATGACCAGCAGTCTTTCGGGGTCGTTTGACTGGATGTTTTACTGCTGCTACATCCAGTCAACGGACCGAATCTGTTCGTTGACCGTACAGACCGAATCTGTTCGTTGACCATACAGACCGAATCTGTTCGTTGACCGTACAGACCGAATCTGTTCGTTGACCGTACAGACCGAATCTGTTTGTTGACTGTACAGACCGAATCTGTTCGTTGACCGTACAGCTGCTGCTGCCCCATTGGTCAACGAACAGATTCGGTTGGTTGACTGGATGTCTTACTGGTGCACTGAGCTGTAAGGAGAGTCGCTCATAGCACAAACCAGCAGTCTTTGCGGCGAGTGGCCGTAGGAGAACGCATGGGTCTTCGACTCTTCGCAGGTATAGGAAGCCTTAGCAGAATAGCACAGGGCTGACTGTGGGACCGCGTAGGTCAAACAGGTTAGACCACCAACAGGCAGGAGCGCACTCCAGCTGCACAAAAAAAGGCAGCAGACATAAAGAAGGAACGGAACAAATTTGAAATTTTCCTAATATCTGCATATTTATGTAATGCAGGAAGTCGATCCGTGATTAAAACTTCATTGAACCAAAGAAAAAAGTTATTTCGGTCAGTCATTTTGAGTACTAGGCTCAGCTGCACAAATTAAAACAACGTGAAATCAACTTGAGTACTAGGCTCAACTGCACAAACTTAAACAATGTGAAATCAAACAAGTATCTGGGAAAAATGAAGAAGAAGAAGAAGAAGAAGAAGAAGAAGTATTTGGAAAAAAAATGCGATCAGAGCTAGCTGGGAGTTGATGGTTTAATCCAGCACTGCTCCCAAACCTATTTTTTGTGTGAACCGGTCGGTTTTCCACACGTGGGAACACCAAACCAAGAAATGCCAAGTCTTTGGCGGCATTCAAAATTTTGTGTTGGGCCCCCCGGTGGCCCCCAAGTGGCCAGTTAACCGACCCTCCCGCACTCCCACACAGCCGATAGGCTGACCCTTCCAGCAGGTCCTTGGTTGACTTCCAGCAGGCGGCCTTGGTCGCCATCCTCGGTCAACATTGGGGCCTGTCGCGGTTTACGGAGCAGGTGAAACGGGGTGCTCCCACCGCATTGGCCATGGTCAACATCCTCGGTCGACATTGGGGCCTGTCGCGGTTTACGGAGCAGGTGAAAGGGTTCTCCCGCTGCAGCCGTCGAAGCTTGCAGGAATGAGGATGTTATCGAGGGTCAAGTTGATTCCCACTCCTTTCGCGTATGCCACAAGCTTGTCGATCCTCTCCCGCGGTATGTCACGCTTCCTCGCAATGATGAAGATGGTCTCATTTTCTATGCCGTTTGGAGTTTGAAGGAATGGCGGCAAAACTTGGCAGCCGTAAACCATTGCCACCTCATATCCCTCAGATGCCCTACCTTCTAGTGCAATTATCCAATATGCCCCTGGAAAACCTCGAAAAGTAACCGTGAGCTTTCCAGGCTCCTTGGGGCTCTGAACAGCCCTTCCCAAAACCTGGTTTTGGACATACAAGAGCAATAATCCAAGGAGGGACAAAGAGAGACAACAAAACACATCAGATCAAGGGCATCAGTGCAAATTGTTGTCAGAACTCAGGGCCATGCAATATCCAGTACACCTCTACCTCTGGAAAACCTCCAAAAGTAACAGCGAGCTTTCCGCACTGCTTGGGGGCTGTGAACAGCCCTTCCCAACAAGTTCAAAAACCCCTTTTGGAAATACATGAGGGGTCCAAGGAGGGACAAAGAGAAACAACAAAAGTTACAAAACACGTCAAATGAAAAGAGAGGCCAGCGTGTTGTCCTTTGGGACATCCGTTAAAATTGGAACGATACAGAGAATGAAGATTAGCATGGTCCCTGTGCAAGGATGACACGCATAAATCGAGAAATGGTGAAAAAAAAAAAAAAAAAAAAAAAAAAAAGAGGCCAGCACAACGGTTGTCAGAATCACAATGCCATGCAATGTACCCCCTCTTGTCTATGCCAAAGAACCCGCATGAATGACCCCTTCTTGCCATGCAATGTACCCCCTCTTTCTGCGCATCAATGAAAAAAAAAGAGAGAAAAAGTGGCCCTGGAAATGAAGAGCTATCATGTTCAAAAAAAAAAAAAAAAAAAAAAAAAAA